ATGGTCTTTTCACTGAAAACTGTATCCATCACTAGTGTTGGGTTTTTGCTTCAGCCCTGAGTTGACTGAGTTATTGCATCCAAAATAGCCACCATCACTGGTGATTTTACCGACATGCCCACCGAAAGAAGCAGGGCAGTTTCTTTCTTTCCATTCCACCGAAGCCGTCGGGCGCGTCTGCGTCATTAATAAATGAGATTAAGAAAAAACCTCTCGAAGCTTTGCTTCGTGGTAAAGTACATGCCAAGACGGAACACAGATCATCTAAACTTATGGGGGCGAAGATTGTGCAGTCGTCAATTATTGTGACCGCGGTTTCGGCTCTGTATTTTCTTTATTGTCTGGTCTGGGTCTTAGCTGAATCGTTCAGGGAGTCTGCGAATCGTATAGGCGGCTGAAATTCAGGCTGTCTAAGTCGAATATAACGCGGTTTTGGACGTTGCGCCACTTTGCTGTTTCGCACAATCGACCTCAAGTCGCATCCGATGGAGTTCGAGGGCTTAATTCATAGAATCCTGGATTTCTCTGAAGATCTTTCGCAGCTATACGCATTTGTCGTCCAAACACCCGCGCACGGCTGCGAGAACTCGATCTTACGGCGCTGAGTCACGTAAAGCAGGCTCAGACCTGTTTAAACCGCCATCTTCTGGTGATCTAAAACGAAATGAAGTCTCTAATAATTTTTATGTACTGAATTAGATAACCTACAGGGGTATTTTGCGCGTAGTGTCTAGTAGCCTTGTTAAAGCGTGTAATCTTCGCCACCTTCTGGCTTTGATCTGAAACAAAATACCAATTATGTATCCGATAATGTATGTACTGTTATTCGTTTGATTGTGTTGTTCTTTGACTCTTTTCTATTCGGTGTTTTCGCGGGAAAAAAATTTAAACCCCAGCACTCGTCGAAAATCCTTTTTTTTCACTAGAAACTCATCTCGGAACATACGCAAATTTATATTCGTTTGAAAGTTCAATGAAATGTACTTTTCCGGGTATTTCAGTTTCCCTTCGGGGTAAACAAAACTCTCGGATTAAAAATTACGCCGAACCAAATCTCTTCAAAAACCCTGACTTCGAAGCAATATCTCTCTTTCGCGTTAATAGCTACCACACATCGGGGCAGAAAAATCTATTCCTTAGCAATCCAGCTTCATCATGTTAAAATTTCAGCAAAATCAAACAGAACCAGACTTAATTACAATTTACTTTTGATACCTCGGTCAAGTAAACTCAGGAAACGACGGTCACCCACGGCATCTGAAAATCATGAACATAACACGAAGCTAAGTTTTGGTCCTAAAAATCCAGAATTATTGCCTGAGAGCTGAAATTGAATGGAAACATCTTTTTTCAAACTTTTCTTAGGTGAATTATACGAAAAAATGACCTCAGCG